AAAAAAAAAAAAAAAAAGAATATTACCACAAAGTTCGCAGCTTTTAAACTATATACATGCAATATTATCTCATGGTTTCTGTGGATCAGGAGTCAGGGTGTGGCTTAGCTGGGTTTTCTGCTTATAGTCTCAGAAGCTGAAAATCAAGGTGTCCACTAGGGCTGCTGTCTCATTTGAGGCTTCCCTGGGAAAGGATCCAATTTCAAGCTCACTGGAGTTCTTGGCAGTATTCTGTTTCTTACAGTCATAAGACTGAGGGCTTCAGTTTCTTGTTGGATGTCAACTGGAAGCCACCCTCATTTCCTAGAGTTTAAGGTTCCCCAAAGTGGCCACTTGCTTAAGCCAACAAGGCAGTGAGAGTCTTCCACAACGTGGTCATTTCAACCTTATTTATTTATTTAGTTTTTGAGACAGGGTCTCACTCTGAGGCTCAGGCTGGAGTGCAGTGGTGAAATCTTGGCTTACTACAACCTCTGCCTCCTGGGTTCCAGCAATTCTCATGCCTCAACCTCCCGAGTACCTGGGATTAGAGATGCCCCCCACCACGCCCAGCTAATTTTTGTATTTTTAGTAGAGATGGGGTTTCACTATGTTAACCAGGCTGGTCTCGAACTTTTGGCCTCATGTGATCCGCCCGCCTCGGCCTCCCAAAGTGATGGGATTACAGGCGTGAGCCACCATGCCTAGCCTCAACCTTATTTTTAATATGATCACATACATGTAATGGCATACAGTCAGTCACCCTTGGTCATGCACAAACTCAAGGACAGGGGATTATGCAAGCATGTGAACACCAGATGGGAGGAATCATGGGGGCCATCTTAAGTGTGTTTTGATGACACCATTCCTGTGGATATGATCTTCAGGTTCACAAAAAGATTTATACAAAGATTTTCATTGTAAAGTTGTTTGTAACACTATCAAGATGAAGGCAGTTAGAGTCAATGGGTTAGATAGATACATCCACAGCACCATGAATGGATCTTTCTTTTCATCCCTTTAAATTTATCCCATGTTTTCTTTCATATTTTGTTTTAATTCCAAAATGAAAATATCTGTACTCTTTTTTATTTGATTATAACAGTGATACATAATTATTGTAACTTTTTTTTTTTTTTTTTTGAGAAGGAGTTTCACTCTTGTCACCCAGGCTGTAGTGTAATGGTGTAATCTCGGCTCACTGCAACCTCCGCCTCCCGGGTTCAAGTGATTCTCCTGCCTCAGCCTGCTGAGTAGCTTGGATTACAGGTATGTGCTACCAGGCCTGGCTAATTTTTGTATTTTTAGTAGAGACGGGGCTTCACCATGTTGGCCAGGCTGGTCTCAAACTCCTGACCTCAGGTGATCCACCCGCTTCGGCCTCCTAAAGTGCTGGGATTACAAGCGTGAGCCACCGAGCCTGGCCTATTGTAACTTTTTCTTTTTTCGGACAATAGAAAAGTATAAAGGAGAAAGTAACAAACCATTAGTTACCTCCCCAGAGATAACCATTGTTAACATTCCCTCCCCAGCATTTTTTGCCCTATGGATACACATTTTTTCAAGATCTTGTTTGCTTTGATATGTCATTTCAGTGACTTGAACTTATTTCTGGAACAATATATGGGTAAAGTCTATGTATATATGTATCTATGTATATATCTATCTACGGAAAACAAGTAGATATAGACAGTAAAATAAAGACATAGACAAGACAGGGGTTGGAGAGATGAAAGGAGAGAAAGTCATAGACAGGGAGAGACATATGGGGAGAGGAAGACACAGAGAGAGCTGTGGGCACATAAGGACAGAAAGAGAAACACAGAGAGCCATGGAGAAATGAAAGTATTGGGCCAGGGCCAGGCACGGTGGCTCAACACCTGTAATCCCAGCACTTTGGGAGGCTGAGGAGGGCCGATTGCTTGAGCTCAGAAGTTGGAGACCAACCTGGGCAACATGGCGAGACCCCATCTCTACCAAAATACAAAAATTAGCCAGGCGTGGTGGTGGGCACCTGTAGTCCCAGCTACTTGGCAGACTGAGGCATGAGAATTGCTTGAACTCTGGAGGTGGAAATTGCAGTGAGTTGAGATCTGGCCACTGCCCTCAGCCTGGAGGACACAGTGAGACCCTGTCAGGAAAAAAAAAAAAAAAAAAAGACAGACAAGGAGAGAATGGAAAGGAGCATTTATTGAGCTCCTACTGAATGTCATTCTAAACTTCCAAGGTCACTGTGAGGGAGGCTGTCAGTAATAACCCCTTTATGCCTCTGAGAGCCTGAGCCTTAGAATGGCGAACTGAGCTGTCCATGGTCACATCACCTAGATTGAAACCATCTCCCTTGGCGCGGGCGGGGCCCACTGCGCGTGATCCATTAACTATTTATCTAATGAACAAACTAAAGTCCATCTCCTCCCCAAGGAAGAGAGATGAGGACCAGACCCCCATTTCACTCCACTGAGTCCATTTTTCTTGCCTGTTTTCCTGTCTGCCAAGGTAACTGTAAGGTCGGTTGCCCCAGCAACTGCCCTCCGACTGCCATGGCAACCGCCAGCTCTCCAACTTGCCCTTTGGGCATCTCCATGGCGACGGGAGGTCTGGAGGGGCTACCAGTTCCCCGAGGCTGCGCCTGCGTCGGGTGGGGGGT